TTTGCAGAACGTTTTTGGTTAAAAATAGGAATGCAATGAGAATGGATCACTTTGTGCATCACTTAGTTCTGATGTTCCTTAAATGTTTTTCCTTTCACATTAGGGAGATATGTCCATATATGTGGATATTAAAAAAAAAAAAAACAAACAAACCCACAAAAAAAAAAAAACAAAAAACAACCAAGGCAAAGCAGACCAAAACCCACAAAAAACCCACCACACAAAAATCTGTAAAACAGCAAAAAAAACCCAAACACAACAGCAAGGTGTAGATACTTCAGTATATACAGGTGTATGTACTTCAAAAACCAAAAAACAACCAAGCCAAAGCAGACCAAAACCCACAAAAAACCCCACCACACAAAAACCTGTAAAACAGCAAAAAAACCCAAACACAACAGCAAGGTGTATATACTTCAGTATATACAGGTGTATGTACTTCAGTATAATGTTAGTGTTTTACTGAATGCTGTAAGATCACCTGGGCAAGGTTGAGTCTGTCTAGAAAGTTCTCTTTAAAAACCATCGCTTGGACTAATTCAGTAACTAATATAAAGTGACACCATTCCCAAACAGGAGGTCTGTCTGTCTTCAGCTGTCTGCTGAAGGCAGGTCACTAACCTGCACCGTTACGGCTTTTGAGCAGATAAAATGTGGAGTAAAGATTTTTCTCCTGGCGATCTAGTGGTGTTCATTTTGAGGTCTCATTCTGCAGTATTTCGTGGGAAAAAAAAAAAAAAATCTGTCTTCTGATGGAAGCAGTAACCAAACTGTTCATCTTACTGATTTTTTGTTACGATTAGTAAAAACTGAAGACTTCTTTACTTAGATTTTTCTTTACATCTTTCACTAGAGCAAAGCTTCACGCAAGGCCGGCTTTGTACGTCAAGAAAGGAGTTTTGAATATGCACCTTTACTTGAAAGTAACTTACTTAGAACATGGTTATTCTGAGGGTTTTTTTACTTGATTCTAGTGGTAATCGCCTAATTTGTGCCATTCATATGCAAATAGAAAAGCCACTCAGGGATCTGTCCTCAAACTTCTTGTACAAACGAACTTATTCTACTAAACATAGTACTTTGTTACAAAACTTACTACTTTATTACAAAACTTACTACCTTTGTTGTCGGCTGTTGCCAGTGCTACCACTTGAGCAATGGGTGGGAAGAGGCAGCTGGTTCTCTGGGATTGCTTTGCAAGCTTGGCTGAAGTGCTTTGCACGCTCCCTGTGGTGTGCCTTTGAGTCTGGGTGCTGCCTTTTTTTTTTTTTTTTATTCTTCTATCTCCCAAAGCACCCAGAGAGTTCTGTTTCTGAAAGGTTTCTAACCTCCAACACTGGAGGTAAGGATTCTTCAGTGCAAATGTTGTTTCTGGAAAAAACAGTGCTCCTATCACTGCATCTTTTGCATTGCGATCCGAAGAGAGCGGTTGGTTCAGTTGGCAGTCGTACTGCTGTGGGAGTTGTAGAGGTCCTACTCTGTTCTCCCTGCTTGCCTGGAGGTGTTACGCAGGGCCCACAGCAGGAAAAAGTCCTTGTATCTTCTTCCTTTCAGC